GTATTCTTCCTACCAGTGAATCAGGGATACAGGTCACAAACTATTCATCTACAAGCCAACTTATCCATATTCACTTGTAGAGGAAAATTCCAGAGATACAAAATTCACCTATTTTCTAATGTCTTTAGAGAAGAAAAGCCTTGAGACCTTTCCCAATCCACCCCCAATCCCTACAAAGAGGGGATGGGGGTGGCTGGAGAAAGCCCTAAATCTACAAATACAGAAGCATAGTGGTTAAGAGGAAGCATTTTACAGCCAGATAGATCTGGAATATCTATTCTACCACTTACTAGCCTGTTCCATCTTAGGCAAATAAGCCTTTCTTCGTCAATAAAATGGTGTAACACAGGGTGGGTAGGTGTGAGGGTTAAATGAGAACCTCCTTAGCATGGTGCTGATACAAAGTAAAAACTAAAAGAGTAAGTAGCTCTAATGGTGTATCACCCTCAGCGCCCCCCTCCCAACTCAGCTGTTCGAATTCAATATTTCTTTGTAGCACCCCTAGGTACACAGATTACATTCTATCCTGACTGAAGTCATCTGGGGATTATAATCCTCAACTCTTTCCAGAAGTTCTCTGGCCCACCGTGTGGTATTCACTCACATCACAGACCTGTGTTAACCACTGTTGTAAACTCAGGACACACCTATGCTAGGTTCTTTGCTAGATTCTATTAAAGCCAAAAGGAACAAGTCAAGGCCTCTGCTCTACTGTACACCCGGCTGATTGGCAGAGACAACCATGGAAACAAATCAAGTGGGAGAGATGCACAGTGCAGGGAAAGCTTTAGAGAATAAGGAGAACTAAGAAAAGCTACATCACAGAAGTGAGGTCTGTTTACTCCTAAAGGATGAAGGGGAAGGGGAAAACTTGTAAATGAGTATGGAGGAATTCAAGAGATTAAATGATATGCCTAGGATAACTGACCCAAGGTCAAGACCAGATTATAAAGGCCTTGCAATGCCATGCTGAGTTCGGACTTCACAATGCAGACCATAGGAAAACTTTAAGCAGTGAAGGGACAAGATCAGAAAGACCACTCCAGTAGTCTCATGAAAGATGGAAGGGTGAGTAGGTCAGCTCAGGACCAGGAAGCAGGGGAGAAAGGAGATTATCCCAACAGCCCTGACACCTCCTCCAGAAGGCCTTCCCTGAAACCACCGCCAGGCTGCACTGTGAAATGTTCCTTTCTGCCCCTGGCATCTTACACATATCACATTTAAGATGTTAAAATAAATTACCCAAATATGTATTTGCCTCAGCAGAAAAAGGAAGCAATCTTTATTCACTTATATATTCCCAGAGACTGCACAGAATCTGACATATAAAGAATCTGCTAATGGCTAAATGAAGAAACGACATCTATTTGCTATTGTTGGGGCAGAATGAGTCCAGTCTGAAACTTCATCTGGTGGGACACCCTGGGAAATGTGACCAGAGGACAAAGGGACATATACGTTTGGCAGTCAAGAGAGAAGGTTTATGTAAGACGTACATATCTGGAAGTGAAGAGGAAGATGGCTCTTGAAGAACCTGCAGAAGGTGGCAGCTATGGCTAGAATCCCGAGGAACATAATCCAGATCAGTGAAGAAGCTGAGGAAAGGCCAGAAAGGCCAAAGCAGAAGAGAAGACAAAAAAAGGAGCAGCTCTAGAAGAGAAAGGATGAGTAAAAGAGGAGTAATCAGAAAGGGAGGCAGAGAGCACAAAGTGGTTCAGATAATTTTGGATCTACATGAAATGTTCTGTTTGCATAAAAACAAGTTGCCAGGTATTAATTCAGCTCTCACTAAATTTTCAATAATGTCCTTTTTTTTTTTTTCCTTTTTTTGTGTTTTTTCGTGACCGGCAACGGATCGCAACCCTCGGTGTTGCGCCCACACCTCGCTCAGCCAGTGAGTGGCCGGTCTGTATGTGGGATCCAAACCCTCGGCAGGAGCGTTGCCACGCTCCCAAGCGGCGCACTGTAGCAGTGCGCCACCGGGCCGGCCCAATAATGTCCTTATTTTAAGTCAAGGATCAATAAGTCAAGGACAAAAATCAGTTTAGCACATGCTTGTGTATTTCTCTGTGTGTCTAATATCCAGATGATTAGGTCTCACAGGACACAGAAAATAAGCAAAATATTGCAGACAAGTATCAAAAAAAGCACTGGATTATAGTCTCTAAGCTTTGCTCTTAATTGAAGTAGTTTGGATTGAAACTAATAATGATTAATTGATATACTTTTGATTGAAACTGTTCATATAAGTCTCTCCCACTAAACATGGTTCCAAGGCTGATGAGGATATCAATCAGGAGATTTTATTCTTTGTCACGCCCTCACTGTCTACATTAAATTCTCTGCAAGTGTCTCTCTCAAGTCTGCCATTTTTCTTCACATAAAGGGCATATTTTAGCTATCTATGGGTGTATTTGGTGGGCGCAGTGGTGGGGTGGGTGTTTAGAAGCTGATAAAAAAAAAAAAGAAAAAACTATTGGGGGAAAACTGTCCTCTCTCACAAGAGATGGGACATGAGGAGGAATGTGATGTTTCCTTTGATTATAAACTTGTCTGTCTCAATATACCAATTCTTTTCCCATTGTCGACTTGCACTTCCAAACCTTCATGAATTTAGACTCCTCCCTCCAATGAAAAACTCAAAAAAACTTCAATTTGACTTCACTTACACTTCATAGATTCATAGTGAAATTATATGTAAAACCGATTTCTCACACAGAATTTACCCTAATTAAGATGCTTCCAAATACATTTTTAAAAGATCACCTCAACAGTTCACTTCAATTTACTAACTGTTCAACAATTCCAGTTATAAAGACACCCAGTTAGTTAGTCATTAATCTACATTACTATTTAGTTAATAACGCTCTATTACTAGATCATTCAAATCATTCAAATTACTTTCTTTAAATACTCAAATCAGACTAGCATTCTCAATACACTGATATTCTAACAAACCACTAGAGCACAAAATTCAGTGTAAATTGTTTCTGAAGATTCTTTTGAGGGGCCCTATTACTTCACCACACACTGTTTTAACTACATGAATTAGAGGTATGCACTGAGGCTCCAGTACATATTGGATTAGTACTACATTATAAACTTATTGAAGGGAAAGATTCCCTTTCTACACAAAGTTTTATATCTAAGCTTTTTAAAACCTCACAACTTAAACACAAATCAAAATTTAAATAGTCCCTTCCTACAACTCTATTGTCACTAAAACTCCCAAAGTTCAGGAAAATAATAAATCATCAGTCGAACAAATTGAATTTGTGAAAATGTAATGGGAGTTGGGAGGATAGAGTAGTTTTTCAAGGAGAGGGGCTGGCTTTTTTTTACTATGTACACGACTACACTAAGATTTTTTAGCAAGCATGGCTTTTATGTTTCTTAAAACGATCTTCTTAAGTATAATAGTATAATACAAAAAAACATGCTTTAAGAGAAAAGTATGGAACGAATCATAAATCCACTTGATAAAGAAAATCAGAATGCGTAAGGAGAAAACTACATCAAACACTATCATGCACTACTAAAATTAATCTGACAAACTATGTACACGTCTAGTAATTGTTTTTCCAAACTTAAGAGGAAAAGATGTGAAACTCTTAATTCAATAGTAACAGATCGAGTTCGTTTTTTGCCTGAGTTGCAAAAGTTCTGATAGCATTACTATTCCACTATATTAGAAATAGCGTGTAGTCTTCAGTACTGCATCTATACAACATGGAACTTCTTGCAATAAATGTTTTTGTTGTTTTTAACTTGTTGTAAACAAATTCACAATCAGGAAAAACAAAAAACACTTTTTCCAACTCCATGTTCTCATTGGGGTTTTAGGGAAAAAAAGTGTTCCAACCTCTACAACTTTACAGAATCTCTAGTTTCAATGACACAGAAACCCTTTATAAATATCTCGTATATATCCCACTATTTTTATTACCAGGTTACTCTGTTTTAGATGACCTACGCTACAGTCCAGAAATGTTAACTTTAAACAGGACTCATGACCCAACTCGCTAATCACTTCTGTTTAGTCATCTGTGCGACCCATGTTTTCATCTTGGTTTCAACCAAGTCTTATTGTTGGGGTTTTTTTTGTTTTTTACAGCAGTATTAAACATTGCTATACAGAAAGTAACTCTCCCAGTTCTACTTGGAAGTCTGCATTAGACAGCAACAAGCCACAATAGACTTATCACTGACATTCCCCAGTAATACTAAAACCCCTTAGAGTGCCTTTTGATGACAGGTCTGGCCTAGGGAGATGGTGATGGACCTGCCCACTGACTGCACCTCTTGACAGTCCCATCAAAGCAAGAAGGACCTGAGGAACAGTAGGCAGAAGCAATCAATTCTTACATCTGTCCTCTCCCACTTGGGTCATCAACTCTCACCCTGTATAGCACGCTAGATAATGAAGGGTGTTCAAAGGGAGCTCCCATGAGAACCAACCCAACAATTATCTGCCTTACTTGCCTGTCACGGACCAGGGCTCTCCAAGCAATTAGAAATGTAATAGAATTCTTGTTTTCTTTTCTCTTTTTGGCAGCTGGACAGTACGGGAATCCAAACCCTTGACCTTGGTGTTACAACACCATGCTCTAACCAACTGAGCTAACCATCAGGACCAGAAATGTAACAGAATCCTTAAGACACAAAAACTTCCTCTTTGATTCAGAAGAGTAAGAAAACATGTACAATATATAAATTAAAGCAATAAATTCTAATCAATGTTGCAGAAAGAACTCTGTTATTGTAAGACCAATAAGCTCAAACTAACTTTCTAAAAACATTTTTTAGGATGGGCTAGCTGACAGTCAAAAATAGCCCATATAAGTTCTTAGCTTACATTCTATTTAAACATTTCTAGAGTGAGTGTTTCTATAATAGACAAAAAACAGACAATACATCTGGACCTAACCCTAAACGTGAAAATGGGTCCACAGGCACACTCTTAACCATTTTTCCAAAGAAATATGTTTAAACGGCTTTACCATGCAGAGCTATGGCTTCCCGGAAGGGTTGCAAATCAGTCTCTACAGATGAGCTAGTTTCCGTTGAAGTAGCTCGGTTAGGGGACACTACAGTCAGTCTTGGGGGAGCTCTAGAGTTTCGTGGTGGAGGAACTTTTCCACACAGGAAGCTGATCAAATCTTCTCTACGAATAGTTCTTCTGCGTTTTTTAACCCAAGCCAAGACATCCTTATTGCGTCGCTGATAGCCAATCTGAATTCCAATATCAAAACTTCGCTGATGGGTATCCACGCTTTCTGTTTGAAAAAAAGAAAACAAAACGAAGGTATGTGATGATCATTACAGCCATATTGCATTCTATTCTAAAGAAAACCATTTTACAAATTAACCAAAATGAAATCATGAAGTATGAGGCCTCTAAGCCCATCAGTAATCTATTAAACTAAAATGTATTTTAGTCATGTTAGAAATGTTACACATTTCATCTTAATGGTCTAAATTCAGAGTTTTACAAATCATTTTAGTCAGAGTTTCTGTCTTGGTTTTTTCAAAAAAAAAATTTAAACAGATAGAAATAGAGGGACTACTCTTTAGCCAAACTACCTAAAGTAACTGGTTATACTTAATCTCTAATTTAGTTTAATAGTACTGACAATAGCTAAATTATCAAATGTGGATTTATTAGTACTATACAATGTTTCACAGGAGAAAAGAGGTAATATGTCTACCTTGAGACCGATACTATTGTCCCCTTACTGCAAATGAGGAAACTGAGGTATTGAGTAACTCTACCAAGGTCACAGAACATATGGAAGAGCTGGAATTTTGCTCCACAGCCTGTAGCCCTTAACCACTAAGCTACATATTGCTCTCCTTCAGAAGAATGAATTCTCATTAATTCAAAGCAGGAACATCACATCATTCAATAGATGTCTAAATACTGTACATGACTCAGGCCACACTCACCTGCATTTACCCATGTCATTTTGTAGATGCACTCCTACTGACAAATGCAGCAGCGAGAATTAGGAACACACTGAAGGCAGCGGCAAACATTTTAGAAATAAGGGAAAATCAATCCTGATTGACTATTCAACACCAAAACCAAAACAAGGGAAAATCAATCCTGATTGACTATTCAACACCAAAACCAAAACATGAGGTGGACTAGACACCCTGTATATACTGGACCTGTGTTTTCAGTAAAAGGATCCCTACCCTTTAATGGTTTTATCTAATCAAAAAAATTTTTTGAAAATCTAAATCACTGCAATTTATTTTTAGTTTAGCTGCTATGCTAAGCAGAAAATCACCAGTGTGTCTTTAATGACACTAATGAAGATGGTTCCTCTATCCTTGGGACCTTTTGTAAAAGCAACAATCCTTGTTTAACACAAAAATACATTTCTCTATTACTTTTCCTGGCTTTGATTATTGTAATTCCTTGTCTGCTACACCTGGAATAGACTCAGAAAGAACAAGCAATAGTCCAACAATGAAGAACTTTGTCCCAGAAAGAAAAACAATAATACAGACATCTCAGAGGACCCCAAGCTGAATGAATTTGCATTATTAAAAAAGGAAAATGGCAAGAGGGTCTGCAGCAAGGCAGAACTTTATGAGGCCTATTCCCTAGCAGATGACCAGTCTTTATTGCTAAAGATTTTATAGCAATAAAGACTGGTCATGGAGAGAATCCCCACGGGAAGTCTTTTCTATTAAAAATAACTTGAAAATAAAAAGGACCAGAACTAGAATTCAACATCCATTTGAGAACTTGTGATATGCCAAAGAGTATATTCACATCTTGTCATTTAAACTCCATTATAACCTTGAGAAAGTAGATTATTCTAATTTTTCTAATAATTCATAAAAAGCTGCTCAGGAGTGAAGTGATTTCTCCACTGTCTCACTACTAGAGTAATGGCCAAGTCACACTGTAAAAACCAGTATCTTGCTGATTTCTCATTTCATCATAAACAAAGCAAACATGAACTCCATTTTAAAGGTTAATAGTATTCATGAGGATAATATAGCACTTTCCCATCTTTGAGGGAAAAGACTTAGATGAAGCCAACCCTAAAAGGGTGGATAAACCTAAAATGACCTTGGAAAGCTGTATGGATCTTACATGATTCTGAAAGAGCAGGAGACATTTTAAGGAAAATCTAATCATTGAGCAAACTAAGCCTATCTCCCATGGGACCGCAGAAAGGATATACGTAAAATATGAATCTAGAAGCAACCAAATTTTTACAAACCTGCCCTACCTAAAACAACTGTTTTTAATCAAGCTCATAACTGGAGAAGTTTCTCTTTCCAAAGAGAATGAGGAAACCTTATTTTTCAAGAACCAAATGGAGATAAGCCCAGAACTGTAAAAATAGAGGGGAAAAAGTTAGAGGCATGAAAGGGATACAAGAACACAAGTCCGAAGCAGGCCTGGATAGCGCAAAGAAAGATGAAGCAGGCATGTAAACTTACACCTGGCAAACTAGACAGCAAAATAAGCTAAATTTGATACAAAACTCAAGAGCTAAAGGCAGGGAGAGCCATGTGAGGTGGGTTTTTTTAAAACTGACAATCCTGGGAAGAAAGAGCTTGGCTAAGTTCTGGTTTCTTCTGATTGAAGATACAAGGGTCTGAAGCTTTTCCTCACAGATTGAATAACATTGGAAAACTCAATATTCACTAGTGGCCTGGTTTAGGTATAAGAGTTATGTAACAAATTGTAAACCTCTTTTTAAAATTATGCAACTTGACCAATCATTTCACCTGAAAAATTCTGACTATCTCTCAACATGAGAATCAACTAGGAGCAAACTAAAATTCAGGCTTTTTGCAGACAACGATTTACAGACTACAAGGAACAGGAGAAGAAAAGCAGATAAAACATTTAAGGTCTTCAGGCACGTGCTTTTGCAGTACCTAGGCATAACTTAGTTTTGTACCATTAACAGCGTATTCTCAAAGCCAAGTCCAATAACTTTACCATCTAAAATTAATCCAACCTCTGTTATTTCCCTAAACAGAAAGTCTCACGTTGGTATGTTTAGGACTTTAAAACAGTTACTTGGTTGAAAATAAAACCCTTCTCATACTTTAAGTAGCAGAGAGCTGCATGCTTACTGAAGAATCTTAGGCATGAGAAGACTACATTTTCACATAATCCCAGGACAATTTAGTGTCCAGTGGGTAATAGTCTCTCTCTCTCTCTCTCTCTCTCTCTCTCTCTCTCTCTCTCTCACACACACACACACACACACATACACAGACTCCTGAAGGCTTACACCCAAACAATGATCTGAACACTTCTGAACCCTGACAACTAGACACCCAAATTCTAAAAGTGTAGAAAAGCAAAGCACAGAAACTGTTGGACAGTCTTGTGTCCAACACTATTTTACTGAAACCAAAGCCACGTGGAAAAGGGCCATAAACCTGAAAGTTAGGTGAACCCCAAGGGCATCAAAATGTCAATCTAACCTTTAACCATAACACATTCGTTTCCTTATTCGAAAAACAAACTGATCCTACAGGTACAGGAGACTTCCCATGTTTCATATTTCTTTTACAAAGTGTTTTCATATAAGCAACTGAATTTAAATTCAAGAGTTTTTAGAAGTCTAACCCTCCTACCACTGCAGGGGGTGGAATGGGGAAGGAGGAGGGCACAGAATCATATGGATTCTGGGCTAAAGACCAAAATACAGAACTTTCTTACGTGATAGACACAAACAAAATTAATCAGACTGTACTATTTCCAGTTGATACTCATAAAACTTTACATATAGAGTTAAGCAGAGCAGTATTCTAGTTTCATAAAGAACTAAAGCTGGGCCGGCCCATGGCTCACTTGGGAGAGTGTGGTGCTGATTAACACCAAGGCCATGGGTTTGGATCCCTATACAGGGATGGCCAGTTAGCTAACTTGGGAGAGCTTGGTGCTGACAACACCAAGTCAAGGGTTAAGAACTAAAGCTGGGTAAGTGGCAGAGTTCTTTCTACAACCTATTTTTTCCTCAACAAGAGAGAAACCATCTTTCATCATCCTCCTCAGAAGATCTACAAGCCACAAGAGCATACTGGTAGATCAAATCAACAGTTTTAATGAATAGTACTGACTACAAAATATTTGAACTTCAGGAAAAAATAATTTTTTCTTGGCGGCTGTCCGGTACAGAGATCTAACCCTGGACATTGGTGTTATCAGCACTATGCTCCAACCAACAGAGCTAACCAGCCGGCCCCAGGAAAAAAGAATTTAGTATGTCATTAGGAACATAAAGATCCAAGTCACAGCCAAAAAAAAAAAAACTGTTTTTCAATTGTTTTGAGAAAATAACTCCTATGTATTCCCTAAGGTAGTACCCAAAAATAAGCACTACCTTCTAGCTACTTACACATTTAGTTAATCTTCACTTACTAGGACACAGAAAAAAGGACAGGAACCAGGGGAGAATAATAGCAACCAGTGTTTGTTGCCTGCCTGGCATCCAATCCTTGTCCTCCCCTTCCTAAATGTAAAGTTTTTGTTTGGACAGCCAACCATGCTCTGCAAGAGAAGCTCCCCTGCACATTTGTTCAAGCAGTGGGAAAGTGTGCTCAGTCCTAAACTAATCTGCATAACCCCATACTCTGGCTATGGTAGTGGTTCTGGACAAACAAGTGACCCAGTTCTGGCCAAGGGACTACAGAAATCATTTCCAGCTCTTCTAAACTTCACTGTGTTGAAGGCCCTAAGAAGTAAGCTAAAAGCCATTCTGCCAACATAATAAAGACAGCTTTGATACAAGTGTGTGCATACACATGCATGCATACACACACACATGTGCACAGAGGGGAGAGAACTATAGAGCAGGGAAGCCTGACTCACTGAATTAAGTCAATCCTACCCGCACAACCTCCAAGCTGGAGAGGAGCTAATATGTGTCCATACCACTGAAGCCAGCTTGACTTGTGTTTTCTTATACTTGCAGTCAAAATATCCTTTTCCAGAAAAGTTATACATAAGAAAATGGTTGTCTTCTATAAAAACTTACAATCTACAAACTGCATTATTTCAAATGACGGAGGCTACTGTTCCTTTTAATTCAAGCTGAACACTAAGATTTAAGGTTTAGGATTTCTAACTGTAATCCACACTAAGGTATTTTGAACAAAGTCTCAAAGATCAGTAATAATTTTCTGCAGCTAAGAGAGTCACAAACTACCTCCACCTGTCTCCAGGTAGAATATGCTTTCTCTGGTCATTTGTTTATAAACAAGTTACCTGCCACTTTGCCCACAAATTCTCAGTATGTTCAGTTCACTTTCAGCTTACAAGTCCAAAAGGCCACCCTAAAGTGAGATGACTTATTATAAAGGATTTGGTATCAAGATGTATCAAAAATAAGGACTTAAAGGACATGACACTATTTTTCTTACCTGTCAATTTTACTTACATTTTCCCCCTCTAGGAAAAGATGAGGAAGAAGGAAAGTACACACAACACAAAGCTTATTCCAAACAAGAAAAACAATTGAAGACAAAAGATAAACTAGAATTACTTCCCTTCATCTTAAGCACTGTCCACGTTGAGAAACACCTGAAAGATATTTAAAACCTGACCACCAAACAGTCAACACATGGGCACTTGCTATACACCAGGCAGAAAACTAAGAGCTTGTACTATAATTTGTGGGTACTTATTCCCACTTACAGTTAAAAAAATCAAGGAGCACAATGGTGAAATACCTGGCTCCAATATCTTTCTCCAGAACCATACAGTTAAGAAGAAACAGAGCCAAGATCTGAACTCAAAATCTGACAACAGTCTCCATGACGCTAGCTGCAAGCACTGCTAGAGTACAGACACCTAGGAAGCTCCCAACACATGTGGTGAAACTCTACACAACTAATGCTTAAAATGCAATTTTCTTAAGTGTGGAGTCAAAGAAAACAAGAATCATTAAAAGCTGAGGAAGAACTAGAGAAGTAATAAGAAGGAGCTCTGCAGGGTGTGACCAAGCACTGGCTCACAGGGTCTGCTGAAGAGCTAGGGCACCAGCACCCACCTCAAGCTACCTAGTACCACCTTGCCCAGAGGACAACAACCAGCCCAACCTCTACTGAGCAAGCAGCACAAGAAATTTAGCATTAGATAAGGAGAATACTTTCCTAATGAAGAATCAGGAGACTGAGATTGAAGCCAGTCACTCAAGGAAATGGGAGGCAACTTGGAAACACAGATAGGCTTGGCCAAGTATTTCCCATGTAAGCACCAACCCTGGCTAACTTGAAACAACCTCTGCAAATTTTCACTCCCTTCATTAACTGCAGAAACCAAAAAATATTCTAAGCCAGGGACACAAGTGAACACTGAAGAAACACCATCCTCTTTGGATTATCAAATAAAGAACCAGCAATCAGGAATTTTCTTCTCATTTCCAAAAAAAAGGAAAACAAAGTCTGAGCCCACACTCTCTGGAGAAGGAACCATATGCTCTGTTTTACCAAATTCTGTTCTCACTGAAAGGATAATCCTAATTCACATTTACTTCCAAATCCTTCCAGCCACATTCTAACCAAACCCACCACGTGAATGTTCAACTTTTCAAAAGCCCACTAGCAGTTAAAAAGGGTTCTCTCCTAGGCTTTTACCTCAATCTTGACCTTCCTATGTGCTCATTTTAGGAGTTAGCAAGAAGCTGGTAGGAGTGCCAAACTCTCCCCAGGCTGCATTTTTAGTTTGCCATATAAGTGCTTAATTATACAAAATACAGGAGTACTGCCCACTGAAAGGATCCCCCAAAAATCTTCCCCCCATAAATTAGATTTAAATACTTAATCAGAACTGTGAACAATCTGATTTAAATTTACCACTACCTTAATGCTGCCATGCACTTTTGATACTACCCTGCTAATTTTATGGGTTCTATTTAAGGTAACCAATTATTCCCACAGCTGTATGCCTGTTCTCTGAAGACCACACACCCTGAAGAGAAGAGGTTGAGGATCTGCAAAATATAATCTACACTCTCCTTAAATCAAATATGAAAATGCTGCTATGCTACTGAATTGCACAGAACACAATTTACCATTCCTATCAGATAAAAAGGGATGTTTCATTTTAAACAAAACCTGCTCAGACTAACAATCCAGCATTTGCAATAATCCAAGAACCACATGTGATGTTTATGTAAAATACAATTAATGTTCTTCCTTAAATTGTCTGAACAAAGAAAGCTAGTAAACATTGAGAAGCATCTTCAAATGAAGTAATCAAATTAAGGATTATTTCAAAGTTCAACTTCTGTGCCCATCTTATTTGAAGAGCTAGCACTAAAGAAAACTGCTAGCTTTAGTCCTAAAGGGATACATTCTAGAGTACACATCAACACCAAAGCCAACAGACATTCATATTTGTATATGGCCTAAACTAAGAGCCTAGTACATTAAAAACACCAAAAATGTGTTGCCTTCCTCTTCGAGCAAAAACTACAACAAAAGCAAAAAGGATAAACTGTGGTACCACCACCCAACAGAATACTACTCAGCAATAAAAAGGCACTGACCTATTAATAGCTGCAATGTGAACTCAATGGATCAACCTCAAAAACATAATGCTAAATGGAAGAAGACAAACACCAACGGTTACATACTCTATGGTTCTATTTATGACAGTATGGAGAAGGGAAGACTACACATACAGCAATCAGACCAGTAGTTGCCAGGGGCTATGGTGGGGGGATAAAGGTATTAATGGTACATGTTTGTCAAAATCAAACTACAGAGCTAACAAGGGTGATTTTACTGTGTTATACTCCATGAAATCAGAGTTTTTAAAAAATTGAGTTTCTTAAGTATTATTTCAAAATTCCCTACCTGAAAGAAACCAAGAGCCATTCCAAAGAAAATATTCAAGACCCTCAAGCACTGATGGATGGTTAAAACTTAGTAGTCAAATTTAAGAAACTCAGCTAAATATCAAAGTTAAACTACTAGGTACCATTAAATCATGTTTCCCCTTTCTCAGTAAAGCTAGACTATTAGTTCCTCATTCCCTAAAATTAACATCCGTATCCACCAGTTTTGGTTAACAGTTCTCAAACTACTGTCCTAAAACTCTGCAAAGTCTACTCAAAAAAAAAAATCTCACAATGAGATATTTGTATTACAGAATCCTGCCATTATTTGCACATTCTTACACAAAAACAAAAATTTGAGAATCAAGAAGATGCTCCACAGCCTGTTTCCATTTTGACATTTTTTGAAACGCACAAAATTCCACTACTGTTTATCAGCAGCCCTGAAAGTTCAAAAGCATTTGACTTAATTAGATTTTTAAGATTAACAGTCAAATTCAAATCCTTTTTCCATAGAAACCCTGCCAAAAATTAAACCCAAATTTCCAAATCATCAAAATCAGTAAGGCACAAAAACTAAACCCATTGTCACCAAGAGAGCACAATGGGCAAAAACGTTTACTTACATATCTTCATGTCATCACAGAGGGGAAAAATTAACTCCAGAAAGGCAACATCATAAAACACAAACCTATCGATTCAAAACTCTTGATCACAGATTTCCTGCCAACCATTTACAATCAGATACAAGTTCGTTTCTAATGAAAATATTTGCTGAAATTGCTAGAGAAAAGCAGCATGTTAATATGCGCACAGATGATTTCAATTAACAAGTTTTCCAAGCACTAAATGCTCTCGAACTGCCAAACTCTAGGTTGCTTAACTCAACGAACTTTTCCTTGACGTCCGTCCCACCTGTCTCTGGCATAAAAACATAAGCTCTTTTCTTCCTTGATGCCTTTTCCAATGAGAAGCACGTCTCACTCGTCTCCCAACTCAGAGCTTCTCAACCTCGGCACTATTGACTTCCGGGAGGAGTCAATTCTTCGCTGAGGAGTGGGGATGGAGGCTGTCTTGAGCACCACAGATTATTAAGCAGTCTCTACCCACTAGACGCCAACAAGCAGCCCTCTCAGTGATAACCAAAAATGTCCGCAGACATTGCCATATATCCCCGGGGAGATGGAGGGGGGGTCAAAATCACCTCCGATGGATCTAACTAGAACACCAAGAGACTCTCAAGTTGCAAGGTATGCAAGCTAGAGGCTGGACTTAGCAGAAAACACACTCGGAACGCAGGACGTCCACCCCGACTCAGGCCAACCTTCCCCTTATCGACAATGCAGCAAGGTTATCTTTACCTTTGTAGAGATTGGTGACGGCGGTGGCTGCGTTCTGGAAGGGCACCCAGAGAGAAAGTCCTGGCTGCTGACACACTCGGTCTGAAAAGAAAAAAAGGGGGGGGGGGGAGCGGGGAGAAAGAGAAAGAAAGAACAAGAGAATGTTATTTGGGTGTCAATCACTCCAGAACGCCATATTAGTTTTCGCCATTTTGTTCAAAGGTTTCGGGATCCCAAACTGAGTGAAAGGACGGGAGGAAGGGGGGTCGCGGCCGGGAGGAAAGGGGAGCGGTGGGGCTCAGAGGCGCAGCCCGGTGCCGGGCCGCGGCGGAGGGAGGCGCCCCCCTCGCAGTCCCCGCCCCGAGGCCGGCTTCGGGGCACAATAGGGCCGCCCCGCCGGCTCCCTTCGCCATTTTGTGACTGGGGACTCCTCCCCTCGCTCCCTGGCCGGGGAGTGGGGGGCGCCGGGCGGCCGAGCACGGAGAGAGGAGGCTCCCCGAGGCGGCCCCACATCGGGGCTGCCCCCGAGCCGCCACCCGAAGGGCTTCCACCCCCCTCGTCGCCATCTTGTGGGGAGGGGGCGGCGGCGCGACCGAACAGCCGGCTGGGTCCCCCGAGGCCGCCACCCCCGGGCTGGCCGCCCAGGTTGCAGGCCGGGCCGGGGCGGCCGGGCGGCGTCAAGATGGCGGCGGCGGCCCCACCTTTGTAAAGCTGGGCCACGGCGGG